TCCAATGGAGAGAACCAAGAATAACCAACTAATCCGAGATTAAATATAACACCATAGGGGAACAAAGTTGCACAATCGAGCTCCCACTGGACCAGAACCCCCGTGAATAGTCACTGATACTAACAGCAGTCTGCCGAATTACACTGAAGGAAATGACGAGATACTGAACCCCTGGAAAATGGAAACAGGAATAGGGCTTGTCATGAATCCAAGAGTGACCAACAAGCAACCCAAGAAGAAAAGGGTAAAGTGTTGACACAGGGATTCCACTCAGAAGTCCAAAGTGCCAGGATATGGTCGAAAATACCACCACAGAAAAGAAGGGTGAAATGGAATACCCCGAGATAAGTGGGCAGCCAATGAACCTGTGACAAAGCCTCATCACGACCCAGAGTATCCCAAAAATGGAGAAATCACGTGTGGAAGGCGAGAGCGAAGGATAACACACAAGCCCACAGGGAGTTAAGAAGTGAGAGGCTGTCCCTGAAAAAAAAAACATTAGGATGTCCATGCAAAGCATAAGAAAGGAGAAGTATGGGCGATAAATACAGAAGAAGGGAAGTAATGGTAAGACAAAACATGAAAACTGGGAATGCACCATAAAATCAGGGAGAGTCCCCTCTCCCATCATACAGGCAAAATAGACCCGAACAACTGAATTCTAGAAATGGACAGTCTGCATGATGGTACGCCAAAGCAAACCGATCTGTAGTCTGTGGGGCGAGGCATGCTGGCACCCATAACCAAATGGGGAGCAAAATGCACAGCATGAACCTTAATATCCAGGGAAAGGAATAAAACATCACACACCTGAGAAATATGGCCAAAAATGTCGAAGTAGTCCAAGCTGCTTAGAAGTTGGGGCAGAGGAAGACACGACAAAATCCGGTGGTGAAAAAATGCTATCAAATCTTCACCAGATCGAACAGGGTCAGATTGTTCGTGACGAAGTGGGGCAACATCAGGAGAAGGTGTTAGACCCACACAACATTCAATCTCCCGGTAAAAAATCGCCGGTAAATCCCACGACGGTCGCCCCACCTGCAGTAGGCGTGTTTGATAGATAATGCAATGTATGAAAAAAAAAATACTGAGAAGTAATTGAAAACAAATTCGTCAGCTGTATAAGCAAAAAACGAGTAGAAAAACACAGTAGCAATAAAAGTAAAAGTTAAACCTCTGTGGCAATAAAATTGTTAAAGTTACGATGACAAGCACACGAGAGAAAAATTCGAAATGCTTGAACACAAGCACAACCAAACGAGAAGTGAAGATTAGGTAGAGAAGTGTAGAGAGAGTCACATGCATCACGTGAGCATGTCATGCTACTATTGGTTAAGAGATGACTCATGATGATTTGCATGAGATACATGTTGGAAGATAGTAATTCCAACAAGGGGTATTCAAGGCTTTTGGCATGCATAAAGAAAATGTTCGCATATAGAAGGCAGCACTGTCATTACAAACTATGCATATGTGGGAATTAGTAAAACTGATAAATAAATTGTAAGTTTTAAAAACACAGACTGGCACAAATGACTTTTGTTTAAACAATCTTGTTAACAAGTGATGTGTTACCAAGTTTCTGCAACTTGATTAATTTTAACAATTATGTTCAAATAAAAAGTTTGAATTAAAAATTTTGCAGACTTACTATCTTTCTAAACACATTAAAAATTTACATAAAGGATTTTGCTTCTAAAAACTATTTGACAATAGCTTTAACTTGCACTCACCCTCACAAGACGAACCATTTCCATTCCTTGAGTGCGCATGTTCTCTTGCCTTCTTCGTTCTACAAGTTCCTCCATGCTTCGATATTTATCCTGCTTTGACAAGTTATGATCTTGTCCCCAGTCATACTAAAAAGAATATAGCAAGATGCAAATTACCATTTTAAAAGAACATTTGCCATTCTAAAGCTTAAACCTTTAAATGGTACATTTGCATGATCTTTTATCTGCTATATTTTTGATATTTCAAATTATTTTGAAAAACAATATCTGTAATAAATTCTGACAAAATCACCCCACAGCTTTGTTCTTCTGAGGAACATCTGTTTTAGATTCACTATTAATAATAGCAAGATAGTAGTACATTTCTGCTTATATTCATAGATATATCTTAAGACCCTTTTAATGCATGTAGGTTATCCTAATTTAAATTATAAGTATAATTTGGATGAGAATCACCTTATCAGTGTCATGAAAGAAAGAGATCTTGGTATAATGGTTCATCTATCTCTTAAACCATCCAAGCAGTATGCTGTTGCTAGTAGTAGGGTAAATAGAATTTTAGGTTGTATCTACAGAAATATTGAATACAAGTCTAAAGAGGTTATAATTTTATTGTATAGGTCACTGGTTAGGCCACATTTGGAGTACTGTGCTCAATCTTGGACTCCTTATCTTAGGAAGGACATTGAATTGTTGGAAAGAATTCAGAAGAGAGTTACTAGAATAATGCCTGGAATTATCATATGAGGAAAGATTATGATCTCTCAAATTGTTTTCTCTTGAAAAAAGAAGAGTTAGGGTGGATCTGATTGAGGTTTAAGATTGTAATGGGAATTGATAGTATTGATGTATCCTCTTTTTTCATACTTAATGGTGAGAATAGTAGGACGAAGGGACATGAATATAAATTTTGGCAAGGTTTGGAGTCATCCATGATTGTCGAAATATAGAGAATGACCAAAGAGATGGCCACACATAACCAAACTGGATAGTGAAGAGTCATCTCTGAACCAGAATTATAAGGAGGCTCCCACATAGGCTGTTTCTGCTCCTACCTTACATCTGGGAAAACCATCTAGGGTTATTGGTAGCATCACTCAGGAGGAATAAACCTCTGTCCACCACTCCAGTAACTGAAAACCAAGAGTGCTAAGGACTCCCATGCTCCACTAAGAGAAATGGAGGATACTCGCATTGGGGGAGTCCCGAGGAATGATGCTCTGGAGACAGTGCAATAGGTGAACTATGTTCTCTAACTTGAAAAGCAAACCAACTTCAATTTGTTCAGTCTAAAAGTCAGCAGGGATGGGCAAAATCCCCTTAAACTTTATTCATGATAGTCCATGAATGGTGGTCCAATAGTGTATTTGTTTTTTGTGTTATAATTGTGTTCCACCCGAAAAGTACACAAGGTGGTCTTATGGAATGCCCCAACTCAACAGAGCTCATTGCTAACAGGAAAATTATTAATTGATTGACTGGTAGCTAATGTGGATTTGGAAATAAGCATAGCTTACCAGACAGCACTCATCACAGAGTGGGATCCTAATGAAAATGACTAGAGAGTCCCTGAAAAAGAAATGCAGTCATTCATCTCTTTTTACAAACGATCTGGAGTGTGGAGAATAGCTATGATGGGTATCCAAAAACTTGAGGAGGCAACTGCCAAATCATTTAAATAATGAGGTATAAATGTATTAGGTGTGGTCCACATACCAACTTGTACAATCCTCTCCAGTAGGAAATGCAACCGAGCTGCTGGGGACATTAAGATATGGATAATTTGATGAGATGAGAACCAAAGAAGTTTCCATCCCTTCAATGAATGCTCATAGTAAGCAATACACACCAACTAATGAACCCAACTTGTCAAAGTGACAGGGAATACGTCATATGACACCTTAGAATCCCAATGGACAAACAAATGGTGATGTGAACCGCATAACCCTTCAGTGCTTGCAACAGAACAATGAAGAGCCTGAACTGGATTTGAGTGTTCATAAAATGGGAAATGGAAGAAAGGTGAATTGGAAAGAAAGTCTTAACACATTCTCCAGCCACTGAATTTTGGGGAAGAAAGGACCTATTGGGACACAAGAGAACATAAGTGGAATGGTAAAAGTCTTGTGAACATGAATCTGAAATAAAGGCCCATTCCATCCTACTTGAGAGCATCTATGCCCAAAGCCAGAGGGTGAGGAACATGAGACCAGAAGGACGGAAGCTGGGCATTCAAGTGAATGACAAAAGCAAGGAACTTGGGTATCCTGAGACGAGAGCAGATCCAACGAACAACTGGTGGATGAACCATCCATTCTGATTGAACTCGATTGGGATAAGATAACTGATTGGCCACTAAATTCATAACCTGGGACATGACAAGCAAGGAGAACAATCTGATGATTATGGGCCCAAAACTGAAGATCCAATGTCTGAAAACAAAAAGACCTGAAGTGAATGCTCCCTTGTTTGGAACTGTAGTAGACTGTGGAGAGAGGATTCCTCTTCTGTCCAGAGGCCCTTGAATTCCATATTCCTTACATAAGCTCCCCATCAATGGAGAGAAGCATTCGTGAAAAAAAACCTCTCAGGATGTAGGGGCGAGAGAAGGACATCTACTGTCATGTTGTCCCTGCACAACCACCAGCCAAGATTGAGTGTGCTGGAAACTGAATGGGTCATTGGAAAATATGGCACATCCTTGCAAGTGGCAGGAAGTCATCTATAAAATGGTGAATGTGAATGCCCACTGTGTGAAAATGACGTGGAAAGGATCTGACTATCTGGCAAAAGATGTATGGGATAGATGCGAAGCCGAATGGTAGAGTATAAAACTAAAAACCTGTCTTTCCTGCACAAAAGAAAGATACCACAGTGAAGAATCCTCAATCGAAATATGAAGGTAGGCATTAATGAAATCACATCAAACTTCGTCATCCATAGACTGGGTTCAAAGTGCCACAAAAGGGAAAGAAATGACTCCATTGTAAATTGAGGAGGCTTAAGGAAACTATTGAGACAAGAAAAGTCGATGACAGGTCACCAATCACCTGTCTTTTTTGTTACTACAAACAAATGGGAATACAAACCATCGAGATGCACTCTATACCCTTTTTTTAGTAGAAGATCCTGTGCTTGGTGTAAGATCATCATTGGGGATGGGAGACAACCATTATGGTAGAAAATGGAGGAAGAGACATGAAATGAAGTACCAACTCACTGGTAAGAACCTGAATGACCCACTAATTTGACGCAAAGGTCTCCCATACAGATCCAAACTGTCTGAGTCAAGCTTCCACGGGACCAGACCTCACAGGGTAGTCACCTATGTCATTGTCAGTGCTCCAAACAAGCATAGGATGCTCACTGATAAGGGCAGAATCTCCCTTGTGTTCCAATAGAACGTGAAGCCAATGTAGGAGGTCTAGAAACCCAAACATGAGATGCAATAAACCATCAGTTAGAAGACTGAGAAAGGTGGGAGGCCAGTGTTGAAAGAAAAAATGTAGAAATGGGCCACATCCAGCCAATAATCCATGGAATCTGGAATATCTGGAAAAACGAATGTCTGAAAAAAGGAGCTTCTCCAAGACCTCTAAGAGCCAAAGAAGGAAAGTGAACATCTTGACCAAGGCATCTCTCTCCAAAAGATCCCAGCAACAAACCAACCAAGAGACCACGGAGAGAGCAGAAGCTGATAATCTTACCAAAGTAGAAGGCAATCAGATCCTCTTATCCTAGAAGTCAATCAGATTCTAGACAGGAGATCTGTGAAAACCTTAGACAACAGTTGCAATGAAGATAAAAAATGCAAAACTGTTGTAAGGGGCAGTTGATTCCTGGAAAACTGAGTGAGGTTAAAAAAAATAGAGACATCAGACCTAGAACCCTAAAGAGGAAGAAGAGAATCCAACCACTAAGAATTTAAATATGGGTCCTCCAAGCGATGGAAAGCTAAGTCATATTGATCTGATAAACAGGGAGGACAAGGCATGGTAGCAGCCTCTCTCAATTACTCCACAAGTCTCAAAGCATGAACATCAATGTCTGGTTAAGGGGGAAAGTCTAGGTAATCAGCTAAATGACTTTCTCCCTACAAAGAAGGAGAAAAGTTGTAAGCCACAGGAGAAATCTCAAGACATCACAAACTTGATATATTAGTTGAGAAAAAAAAAAGATGCAGGAGGCAGGATGTCCATCTAAGGCTCTTGATTAGCTATCTGAGCAAAGAAAGGAGCCAGAAAAATAGAGTCCAAGTTCTCATTATTGTCTGATCTCACACAAGCTCAGCCTCTGAGTCTATAGAAGAAGAAACATTAGACTTCATGTAAGACTCCACCTCTCTGCATATGAGGGATTGGATGTCCTCCATGGAAAGGTGGACTCCCCCAACATCCAGGCAATAATAGAATCCAGAGGTGGCTGATTAAGAGCATGAGGAGACTCCATATCAGAAACTTGAATGTGAGAATTCATATCTGAAATGTCTCAGAATGTTTTTTTTATTGAAATTAAAGAAAATAGATAATAACTCAAAACTCAATAATACAGGTAAAAAAAATCGTCCAAAGCATAGGTATAACTGAAGTTATACAATACAGAAGAGAAACCCAGAGCAAGTATGCAAAACTTTTGTCGTAATGTTCTACCACAGAGAAATGTCAATAGGAAGTAATAACGGGGAGCTTATACATGGACCTGTAATAGGGGGGTGCATTGACATAGGAGGAGAGAATCACGAGATTTAAATCACAATGGGCAATAGTGGGGTAAAAAGGCTTGAACAAGTGAGGGAAAAATTAATACCAATGCTTAGATGGGCATAGAAGAGAAACTTTCATCAGGATAAGGTTAAAGTGTGTGAGAGAAGGTAAATGTATTTCAGAAATAAAATTAAAAAATGCACTCAAAAAATACAAACATTACTGAAATGCTAGTAATATTATTATTTTTGTCAATTCCAATAGACATGTAATTGTATGTAGTTAAGTACTTTAAATATTATTACAAATACTGATTTCAGTATAAGGTCCAAAGAAAACTAATTAATAATTCTTCTGAATTTGAAAGATTCTACAATCTGCTCCAAAAATCTAAAAGTTAAAAATATTATAGTCCTTTTAATTCTGATTTTCTCCTTTACACACTTGAAGTTCAGTTTAAAGAAACAAAGCTAAAACAAAGAAGGAAGCTTGACTTATTCTGTATTAAACACTAATAATTTATATATAAATCTATTTTAGAAAAAGTCTGCTAAAAAATATAGATGTTGTTTTATTTTCATAATATTATTCAGAAAGGTAAGCAAGTGTTTTTACCTGGTCATTTTTAAACCTTGATGTTCCAAAATGAGGTCTACTTCTTAAGTCCCAGCTAGAGTTTCTAAATTCACCACGTAATGGTGTGCCAATGCTTTTGAAACTCAATGGTTCTGCAGGATCAAAATGGCTGTCTCCAGGATGCATAGCCACTGACTCACTGTTAAGAGAACTACGACTTAAACTGCGAAACAATGCACCTCTAAGTCCTCTATCTTCATAAGTTTGTTTAAAAGAGGAGAGGGGTTTATTAGGTGGAACAACATCATTATTAAAAGATGGCCTATTAAGATCTAAAAATCCTCCAGTGTTAGAATCAAATGTAGTCTGAGTATATATATTTTGAGGAGGTGGTGAGGTTCCCATTTCTACTTTATGACCATTGACAACTGCATCAGTTAATGAACTGGTGCCTGTACTAACATCTTCTGTTTTATTTTTTTCAGTGCTATAATTCAAAAGTGACTCTTCATGTTTTGACTTCAAAGCTTCATGAATGGCATCAATATGTGTCTGCACAGAGGAGTCTCTTCTATGAACTGATGTTGATGAAGATGCTGTTTTTTTAAAGTCCTGTGTTGAAGAAAAAACACTGTCATTAGTAATATTCTCAACAGGAAAATGTGAGGTTTCTGTCAGTTGATTAATTGTAGCTTCTTTGTTACCAGAAAAAAAGGAATAATCAGTATCTTTTGCTGAAATCTTAGAAGCTGTTTCTGATGTTTCCTTTCTGAATGTTTCCCTGTTTACAGATAGCTGTTTTTGGATGGCTGGTTCTGTGGAATCTTTTTTTTCCCCATCTTCTTGGATATTCAGCTTATCATGTAACCTTTCTCTGATATCCTGTCAAAAGTTTAAGTGACATTTCATTCATCTGATATACTTGTTTACTAGGAAGAATGTTCAAAATAAAAATATTTTTCAAGACTTTTAAAAAATATAACATTCAGTTTGGTGTGTTGTTTCCCGAAATATAACATGAGATTTACCTTTCTATTCAGATCAAAAACTAATCTTTTCTTTGCCTAAAGGATCTACAGTAAGTGCAATTTCAAAAGTTTATAGATCTCACTAGGTTGCAAGTTTTATTCCTTGACCTAATGAGAATATAGACTTGACAATCTAATTAAATAAACCTATGAAAACTGATCAGTTTAAGTAGCATACAAAAAGAATATTCTAGTGTCCAAACTTCTTAAATGATTTAACATTCAGGTCTTCTTGTATGAATTAATTGTAGGTTTATATAAAACATCTACTATTTTCTGTTCTAAAGGAAATTTTAGATACACATAAATATTCCAATATAAATAAATTTTGAATATTTGATATACACGGGGTCCCTGTTATATGTTGCATCACTCTACGTCTTTCCATTATTAGAACATTCACCAATTACTATCCATGTATCAAATAATGTTGCCTTGTTTCATTACTAGAGCATTCCAATGTAATTGTCTATTTTTCCAGGTGTAGTGTTTACCAATTACTACCAATACTTTTGAAACAGTGTCACCTTGTTTTATTACTAGTGTTAATTAAAACATTGTTGGGCTATTTTACTGGGCATAGTGTTCACCAATTACTGTACAGTACTGTACTATCATTATGCGTGTGAAGCAATGTTGCCATGTCAAGAGTGCAGAGGATGTAAACACGTTGTGTTCATGCACCACTGTCAAAACACATTGCTTTTTCCTCTGCAGAAAAGCCTTGTTTCCACCCTTCCAATATGGCTCCAAAGCAGTCACCTAGTAATAGTAAAGTGCCCCTTGCCAAGAAGCCCAGGAAAACAATTAACGTTGCCATTAAACTGGAGATTATCAACACTCTGAGGCAGGTGAATGGGCTGTGGACATTGCCAGTGCTCTCTCATTTCTACCATAGTCAGAACGATTTTGTATACTACACTGTAGTTAAAAAAAACCCTGTTATGCCCTTTAAAAAAATTATTCAAGAGTAGACCAAGACATATAATATATGTAAAGATTGTGTTGCTTAACGTCATTTCAGACATATATCCCACTTTCCAGAAATGCATCAAGATGTATAACAGAGGCCCTACAATCTAAAAGGTGTTCAAAATAAAATTTTATGTATGGCTAGTTCTTGTACTACTAGCCCTGATGAAGCTGCAGTAGCAAAACATTGGCTGAAATAAAAGGCTTTTTATCATTATCTAGTAGAGGTAGTTTTTTTACTAACTTTATTGTCAAAATGTCTAGATCTCTCCAATATGCATTGAAAATTGTGAAAAACAACAAAAACCTAAAAGAATGCATTATGGTTCTATTTATTTAATAAAAATATCTGAAACAATATTATCAATGTATAAGCTTCAATACATCACTAATGTCTTGGAATATAGACAACAAATAGACTTATTTTTTTAACATAAGTTGTAATTTAAAAGCATCTGACAATAACCGAAATTAGCTAAATATAATTTCAGCATTACCTTTTCAATTTCCTCTTGTTGCTTTATCAGATCTGCAGTGATAACAGGCATGTCAGTTTGCTCTTTAGTTGTAGTACCACTACTTGTTTCAGTTTGGGGATACGTTTGTACTGGGAGATCTTCTTCCTGTTGATCTCTATCTTCTTCTTCAAGTTTCTCTTCTGCTGGATATTCTGGTTCTGGTGGAGGTAATGTAGACTTGACTTCTTCTTCCTCTTTACTCCTGTGGGAAGCCACTCTTCCTCTTGAAGTCGTCTTGCAGCACATTTGACAGATGCGAGTACCTAAGGGATTGCGGTATGTGCAATGTTCACATTCCCAGTATTTTTTTGCTCTATTTCGCTTTTTCTGGTAACGCCGAATGCTAGAAGCTGCTTCTGAAAGAATTTCTGTGTAAAAAAATATTAAAATGAAGTAATAATTAATGTATAACTACATATACAATTTATATGAGACTTCAATTATAAGGTTATGAAAACTGAGAACCTCATTTCCAACAATAAAAATAAATGGACTGTTATGTAATCAATGTTATAACTTACACTTGATTTTGAATAATGAACATGATGATTGGCTCAGTTAAGTTGGTTTAAAGCCACCTTTAGTGAGGAGATAACCATATGACTCCTGTGATCTATTAATTGTACTTCATCACCAGTTTTATTCACAATGTGTTAAAATAGCCACATTCTACAAAACATGTAATATCATACTTCAATAACAAAAGGTGAGCTATACTGGACTTGATGTATATATGCATAATCATTCAGTTGTGAATCCAGTATTTCTTTATGAAACATGAATTTGTTATTTTTATAAATAGCACAAAAGTGCTTGCTCTTGGAAACAAAATCTTTGAAGCAAATATAATAATAACGAATTCTAGAAGCAGGTTTCAATGAATGCAAGCTTCTCATGTAAATATGCTCTACCTGAAATTTCTAACTGTTTTCTTTATCCAAAAAGAAAGTTGTTAAGTTTATGTAAAACCACAAGTATTTTTTATCAATAGTGAACTAACAAAGATGAAAGATAGGACTTCTTTACAAATATTTAAGTATTATGTATGTTTTAATGCAAGTAACATCAACTTCATCTATAAAGTGTAACTATTCACACCTCAACAAGCAGACATACTCAAGACTCTACTTAAATTGGCATTTAAAATAACTGGTACTAAACTGTGAAAACAAAGATAAAATTTAGAAAAATGTTAAATCATGAGAAACACCTGGTTTGTAACTACATTACTAGTTTTACCTGTGCCATTATTACCTGAATTTTAATTAGTCAAATACTGTACAAAGTCAAGAACATGTTTTATTGTCTAATAATTTATCATTTTCCTAATCTGAAAATGTATTTCCAAACATACTTACCTCCGCTGACACTTATAGCTATTCTCGATCTCCATCTTCTGTTGTTCTTTGCCATATAAACATTGTGTTCACTTGCTCAAGTCTTTTATGCCCCACTAGACTGTCCTCAGCAGTATCTAATTTGGAAAACTTTAAACTGGCTCTCATGCTCCCTCTATGCAGGTACTGTATATAAGCACTGTATGCAGACAATATATAATCACTTTTTCGAGACTTCCACCATCCCAGACACTAACACCAGCTCTTAGTGCAGTGGAAGGGAGGGAGAGTGTCAGTGGAGGTAAATATGTTTGGAAATACATTTTCAGATAAGGAAAATTACAATTTCCAAAACATACATATTTCCGCTGCCACTTATAGCTAGAATCCCACATTGAGAAGGTGGGGGCTGGTGAGGCCATAGTTCATACAGAAAGCATCTGCACAGAACAAAGGTGTGTTACAAGAAGTGGTACCTAAGTGGAGAAAACTGCACTACATCCAGAACAGGTATGCTCTTCACTCAGAACTACTGAAAAGTGAAAAGGGTGGAATATTCCATAAGTAAGTATGATGGGCCAGCCCCAACCATGCAGCTGATGTTCCACAACACATGGCTGGATTTAAGGGGTCATGGTACCCATAACCCACATTGGTGGTCAGGGCATTTGGACAGCAAATATATACATATCTTTGTGATAGGAACCCCACCCGCTGCCATGGAATGATGTGTTTCAAACTACCAGATTTACAAAAGAAAAAAGCAAGACCAAAGTGGACAATGCTTTTGATCAATCTGAAGAAGTCCAAAAGGCAACATCCCAGACTTGGATTGATAGGATCATATATGCCATACTCCAACCAAGGTCAAGAACTTATCAGATCTAGATTTACAAACAGTTATCTTCACTCCCCAACCAAGTGGGCAAGGAGAACTCCACTTACCCATGGAATTATGGAGAGGATGTGGAACACTGTTCCACCTAGGGCCTAAGATGGGACCACATTGTGTTCAGATTTATGAGGAGATAGTGAACCCCTGTATGAACAACGTAAGACCCAATAGTGTTCATAAGAGGGTCCAAGCACACCCCCACCAGATAGCTAAGCATCAAATCTGGTCCAGTTTTACGAGTAGGCTCCCACATATGTTGGTCCTGCTCTTACCGACATCTGGAAAAAACTTCCAGAGAGAAGGGTCCCCAACTTTGTGTTCTTCTTCGAGAGTTGAAAAAACTCAACACTCCTAAGGAAAATCCTCTGTCCACCATCCCAGCGACTAGGAACTGGGTGTGGTAAGGACTCCCTAGCTCCACTAGTAGAATTTGGGGGCATGTGTATGGTGAGGAGTCCTGAGGAACAGGTCTCCAAAGAAATTGCAACAGGTGAACCATGTTCCCTAAGTTTTTAAAGCAAACTGATCTCAACTGATTCAGATCGAAAATCAGCAGGGACTGGCAAAATTCCCTTTAGATTTACTCATGATAGTGCATGAGTAGTGGTCCATTGGATTTGTATTGTGAGATAATACTACTATCCAGAATTAAATCTAGATGGTCTTATGGAACACCTCATCTCAACAGAGCCCATTGCAACCATGAACAAATATAAAGGTTGCTGGTGCAGAACTGAAAAAATACATGCACACCTGACTGGGTAACACTCACCACTGAGTGGGATTTAATAGAAATAAAGGGGGACCCTAGAAGAAAAACAAAAAAACCGTAAATGAGGTAAGAAAGTTACCTCCTTGTTCAAATCTAGCAGAGGTAGTTAACACAGCCACAGGGGGAAGGCAAAATCCCATGGAAGGGGAAACTGCCAGATCATGAAGGTAATGAAATAGTAACATGTTGGGAGAAGTCCGCATACTGGCCCGCAAAATATCCTCCAGAGAACAGTTCAGATGAGCAGCCAATGACATTGATAGATGCTGAATCTGGTGAGAAGTGACGTGGAGCATATTTCAATCATCAACAGATAACCCCAAATAGGTTATATAAATCAACTTTCAAAGCCCCTAGTTAATGTAATGGGTGATAAATCCTGTGATACTGCAGAATCCCAATGAATAAAATTCCAGTTCCTATGGCCCTTGAACGGTTTCATACGAGACACATAACATTTAAGTGCTTTGTCTGGACACAACAAATGATCCGGTCTGATCGACTGTAAAGATGAGAAATGCCTGGTAAATGAATATGAAGAAAAAGATTTCTTCCCTTCTCTGGCAGCAAGAGTTTTGAATAGAAAGGATCAGTCTGGATAGAGCAAAAAAAGGTGGAATGATAAGAGAGTCTGCTGAACATGGACAGCAAATAAAGCAGAATGATGGCTTCAGAAAGCTAACAACAATAAAAAATATACCTTGAAGGAAAGGTGATACAACAAACATGAGGCCATAGGTTCCAAGGGATGATGTGATAACAAATGTAAAACAACACTTAAGTCCCAATTAGGCAATTGAAAACGTCGTTAGGGTCAAAGAATACGAAAGGATCATAAGAGATGAGATAGCACAGGAGAGTCAAAAACCTTCCTATAATTAGAATATCAAAAGGTAGCAACTAGGTAGTTTGTGTGTCCCCAGGAACTTCAGGAGCCAAGGTGGTAATCATGGTAAATTTCAATTTCATAATTTAAAATAATTTGTGTGAAAATGGTAATTAAAGTCCCTGACACATCAGAATGCAATAAAAAGCAAAGTAAACATATTAAAAAAAACAACAAAAGAACAAATATGAACAAAGTCCAAAATGTCTGAAAAGAAATTATAGAAAACTGAAAGCAAGCAAGAAACATGTCCAATTCATATTGTTCCAATCAAGAAAATGAGGTTTATATAAAGTAATAAAGAGGGAGCCAGCTGCTCTGTGAGAATGTGTCATGCTTCTATTCGTGAAGGGTTGTCCCATGCTCTATGCATGCAAAATGAGCTGCTTAAACTTATGGGTTATAAAGGCTAGTGCATCAAGTGAGAAAATTTGTTTACAATGCATTAGTGAAAGATAGAGAAAAGCTATTAAGTGAGAGGAGGTATGTATGGTATCATAACTATGATTCCTCTCCTCTCTTATGAAACTGCTGCCCAGAATGATATTTCTCATCATCATAATCTTTATATTACCCAGCCAGAAAAAAATCCAAAGTATTATCATTCTTGAAAATAGCTTTATCAAAAATTAATTATTCTTAATTACCTTTAAAAGTTCAAACCGTGCAACTCTAAATGTTAAAGAGAAGAAATTCATCAAAGAATAAATACTATATTGGCCAATCTTAATTAACGCTTTGTCTTTCTACTTAATATGCACATAGCTGAGAACTGCCCCTTCAAGTTCAAACTAATCTCCTAAAATATGATACTTTTATTTTAATCTAAGTTTTCTGCTTGTTAGAATACTGAAGCTTCCATTATTCACACAATAACTTCACCTGTGAACTTAATCAAAAACACTTTTTATGTTTTTAGCCATGTTCATCACACTTGGCCTTAGCTGCTTCTTTGTCTTAACTCTTTCACTGCCATGTTTACACATAGACAACTCTCTCAATGTCAGATTTATTTTTAGATGTAGAATACAAATGTGTTTTTTTAATATTTCATTATTTATCTAAAACACGAAACTGGTAAACATTAGGAAGTTTGAAGGAAATGCTTTTTCTTTGTGGTAATACAAAATTTCAAACTTCCATGTGGCTAATAATATTTTTCATGGCTAAAACAAAGGTTATGTAGTGTGTAACATATATGTTCCCATGATAGTAGAAAGCTTAATCAGCTACAAAAATATTTCTTTGTTTTGTTCACTCATTTTAGAAGTTTTACTTCCCTGAAAATGCAGAGATAACCTTTTAATGTAAACAAAATGACCTATATCTCCAGAATGTATCTTTATTTGCTCAATATTTCACTCTTACAGCTTCGTTAGGAGCTATTGGTATCTTTCAAGTTCACTAATCCAGTTGAAACTAAATGCAACATCTAGTTCAGCCAACCATGTTACAAAAATATAATGTTCCAATGACGAATTGCAGTTAAAGATTCACAGGAGTTAGCCTTACGTGAATTTAGTTCATATTATCCCTTTAAGGATGTTGTTAACTTAATTCTTTCATTTTGTAAATAAGTTTTTGGCTTACTGTTAATCATAAAATGTTGCTAGTGTTAAAAACTTATAAAAAAAATTTAAGGAATTTTCAATTTATAAGATTCCAGTTTTTATTAAACAATCAGAGGATTATTCTTTAATTACCATCATCTTCACTGTCTTCATGAACAGAGAAATAATCTTCTTCTTCAGTAGTTGTTCCAATATCTGTTCCCTTTGACCTTCTATGGATGGCCCTCTCCCTGATAGAGCTTCTTGGCTTCCCACGGGAGCTTCCAGAGGCTACACTCTGTTCATCAATGCTTTGTCGTTTGTGTGGTCTTCCAGCTCTATGAAGGGATCTCGTTGACCCTGATGGTGATGGTGATATAGACATATGTTGAGAGTGAGGATAATATGGAGGTCCCATTCCATATCCTTGATGATGAGGTCCAAAAGGAAAGTAGGATCCTATAAGAATGATGTAGGTAAATTAACTAAAATTCAAGAGAAGAAAAACATGAAGCTTCCTTTACTAGGTATTTAGTAAAACACTTTCTGGGAAAACTTACCAAAATGCATGGATGGTACTATTGCCAGAGTTTACATGAATTAATATACAAAACTAATTATTCCTCAAACATTAAACTAACAACAATAATACCATCTAACTAACATATTTATACTCTCTCCTAAAAGTAAAACAACACTCTATACACTTCTACAATAATGAGAAAATTATTATTAAAACACTGAAAACTGAAATTCCATATTTTCACATCAGTGTGAACATTTCATACTTTAAAACACACCTGGAGCTGTCATTGGATCATACATCACACTTTGACTCCTCTTCATTCTACCATTCATGAAGTAGTCAGGTGTGTGTTGTTGAGACATTCTACCTAGTGTCCCATCTCTGCCTGGATGTTGTCTTCCAAATGGGATATTATCAATATGTTGTTCTCCAGGGGTGCCCCACGAGCTGCCATAACACTGTGGACAGTTGGGATGAAAAAAAGTGTGTCCATGGAAATAAGGATGACCATGTGTGTATGGTGGGAAATGAGGATGTTGCTGAGGGTAAGATGAGAGGTCAGCTATACTCATACTGTGCAGCATCATCGAAGACTGTTGCCGAACATCACTAATAAGTAGGAAAAATATCTTATGATCTGAGTAATTAGGGTATATCATGTAACAATATCTATTTACTTGAAGTTTACAGATTGAATAAACAAAAAACGTTTAAAGAAACAAATACTAAGCTGCAAAACTACAACTTTGCATTATGTGAATCAAACATAGAGCTCTTCCCTGCATACTAGAAAACTATAAACTTTTCAAAAAAATTTAATTATAACGATTTTTTTCAATAAATGGAGCTATTTAATGCCATAAATTAGAATATTTCATCATATTTACACTATAGTTTTACCATTAATTCCTTGTTTAATGTATAAATTACTTATTGCTTGTTTTTACATAAATTATAACACATAAATATAAATTATAAATAAAATATAAATTATTTAAAAGATAAATACTTAAAAAACTTCATCTGCATTTTAATGCCAAGCCATATCTTCCAAGTTTCCTGACAATAGTATCCAGTAAAATGTCACTGGAAATACTAAAATACTTATAAAAAGTTAAAAACAATTATGTGTTGAACAAATATGTTGTGTCCATACCCCCTCTGTATCACAGGACCAGATGACTGGTAGGGTTGTCCAAGGGTGCCAGCCCCAAGAGAGAAACTACCTTGCGGTCTACTAGCTGATAGATCTGGACTCCAGGGAAAATTTGTTTCTTCCTGAACTTGTGTGTTTTCTGCACTGGTTTGTTCTGTTACATGCTGGTGCTTTAAGTTCATATGAACAACATACTTATTAAAAAAAGCATAATCCACAACACAGCCAACCTTCTTCCTTGTTTTTTATAACTAATTTTTTATCAATAAAGTTTACTAAAGAGATTTTCATCAGTTTAATGTAATAAAAGTGGATTGTTAAATGTACATGACCCAAATCATGAGTCCAGGGAATATTTTGAAAAAAGTCAAATAACAGTTTAAAAATGTATATACTTAAGGTTTGTATAGGGTGTTTTACAAATTATGTTAGAGATATTATTTATAGAGATAATAAATCATCATCTTGACAGAACACCATATAATAGAAAAAACATGTAAAACAAAAAAAAAGGTTTTTAGGTGGTAATGTTATGAAATTAATCAAGTCAATAAGTAACTGTATTAAGATTACTCCTATTTGTCACACAGCTCAATTTTTAGCCTTGCAACAATCAATATTTACTTTTAGAACAATATTCTCACCATTTACTGAAAATGAACAGCAGAAAATACACAGTCTACCCAAGGGTTATAAAATATCTTATGTGGGCATGAGAACCAACTAATTAACTATACGTGGTTTAAATAGTTACTATAAGTCTCATCGTATCATCAAAGTAAAAAATATGTTTCTTTTCCTAGTAGCCAATCAAACAGTAAGTAGTTTTTACTGAAGTAATATTCTACCTCAATTAAATAAGAAATTGCAGAGCATAACATTCATATATAGACATTAATTTAACTGAAATTATTTTGGACGTTTGTATCTTTTGACACCAATAATTTGTTATATCATTTAGCACTGGACACAGGAATCTGAAAAAGCAGCTGTTAATTCCTAAATATATGTCCAATGTAATATAATGCTGAACTTTTACTTGAATTATATATATATATATATATATATTGTTCTTAACTGATCATTTTTGGCACTATTATAATTAACATGTAATTACTAATAGAGCTGGGTGATTAGTGGAATTTGATAATCGATTAATCATCAGGCTTATTAATTGACTACTAATCAATTATTCACATGAGACATGGTTAATCTGAATAGTCAAAAATGGTAATAACTTAAAACACTAGCTTTGATTAATTATTTTTGTGAGTCAAGACATTAATCAATTGTGCTGAAAAACCTTTATTTAATCAAAATAATGATGAGAATTCATAATACAATATTTCAATTACTTGGATAGTTTAAATCAACAAAAATATTTCATTTAGTTGATTATTTTCATCACATTAAATCAATTTAATCATAATTTTGATTAACTGATTATTTTACACAACATTAATTGATGTAATTTATACTCATGAGTAATCAATTAATCAAGTTAATGGCCAAGTTCTAATTACTAATGTTCTATCACATATACAGTTTTCTTTTTATATTTTAACCGAAAACATTAAAAAACAAAGGAAATCAATCATAATGTTTCTGAAAAAAAATTCAAAAAAGTTTTATGTAAATCAATTGCTAACCATGAAGTCTGGTGGAACTGGTTGGCTATGTCTTCTGTTATTTAACTGAAAGCCTGGAAGTGCTAGTTTGTTTCTTCTGTCTTCTGAAGAGATATCTGAATGTGTTGGTTGATTGTGTTCTCTGTTTGTTGGTTGAAAACCCACAGGAGTTTGCTGATTTTCTAACCATCTATCTCTTGTGATTTGCTGCTTATATGCTGTACTATCTGGCTGTGAACCTTGAGGGCTAAATGGGCCTTCTCTATTTTCTGTTTGAGACTCTGTTTTACTCTCTGTCATAGTACGAGGAATTATCAATTCATCTATGCTGTTTGCTCTTTGATGGGAGTGTGGAAGAGTACGTTGTGGTAGAGATGGAGGATGTCCTTCATTTCCTGGTGCATATATATAAAATCACAGCAAAAACTTTATTTTAAAAGTGCTATGAGAAAAAAAAATTATACTCAATTTAATAACACTTAACTTCTTTTTGTTCTTAAAATTAACGAAGTAAAATGTAGCTGAGTTCAGAAATATTTTCCTTGAGATTACTTTCATAATCATATAAAGAACAATTTATGTTATGTATAGTAATGTGAGCTATATAGAGAGTATGCAAGTCAAGTGTGTTGTGTGAGTCAGGGGTGTTGTAATTTTCTGAATATAGTACACTTCCAAATATAATATGCACTGTAATCTTCAATATCATATAGAAAGGAGTATTTCCTTGTAGCAGAGAAAACTGCTTAATGTGTAACAATAAATACCTCCAAGAAAAGAATATAACTTTAGGGCCTACAGAGGAACAATGATTTAAAATTGAGGGCTTTCATAATTTCAATTCTAAAGATATAATTTCTTTAATGTTTTCACATTATGGAATTGTAATGAAAAGAGCAAAAGATAATATTCTGAAAAATATTTTATTAGTCACACTATCTGCATCTTTAAAAATACAAGAATTGTAAGGTTAAGATAATTTTTCACATATTCTAATACCACATAAGATAAACTAAGTCAGAAGTCTTATAAAAACTTTTTCATGTTCAATTTTTAACATAGGGCTATATTGAATATTAAAGTTTTTAAACATTTACTGTTTTAATAATGATTATAAGGTGATATACATTTCTTTTTAATGTATTTAATAATCATTATGTATTTTAATGTGGTACCTATATTTTCTTTAAAAACATTTTCACTGATTTTAGATTTCACCACCGAAGAGCAAATATTTCCTGAGGAATAATCACTGAAGCTACAAAAACAAGTAAACAAAGTTTGAAAAAAAGGATGAAATTTGTACATTGTTTATACCAGAAAAGGATTTAAATATTTCTTACCATGATGTCTCATTATTTGAGGTTGACTAGATATGACTCCTGGTACTTGAAGATTTTCACTACCATCATTGCCGGAGTCTTTTGGTGTTGGTGGCAGTGGACGACTAGCCATAAATCGCTTCAAACTTCCAAGTTTATTTGACCAAGAGAACTCTTTTCTAGGAAGAAGAGGTGTCTGCAAGAGTGGAAAATAACACTGAAGAAAAACCAATAAACTCTTAACTTGCAAAGCAGTAGCTTTAATTCATATATTTATCTGCTGTAATTTACATAGAAACCCTGTAAATGTACACTTCCTTTGTCAAAAACTATGCAAAAAATCTGGAAGTAGAAAGTTGTCACAAATCTAAAGGAGAGAAATAGCACTTCATATATCTTGTAGAATTTACAAAATGTTTTGTTAAAGAACTTTTTCTTATATTTATTATGACAAAAACAAAACCTAAATTCTAATTGTAAGAAAGATATCTTTTTTTCATTTTATAATCAATGCAATTCTTATAATTTGAATTAAATAAGCTATTCATGTTCAAGGAATAAAAATCACAACACACTGTCACATATAATTCATATTTCAAAGTTCAATTTAAAGACACAAAGCTAGTCACAAGCAAAGAAACAGGAAAGTGGAGCTTTTACCTCAGCTGTAGAACTTCTACCAATTGTTCCAAAAATTGTTTTTTCCTTTTTTTTCGAGGGGGAGGAATTGGCATTTTGGAGGGATCCCCACCCAAAATTTGTGTAGGGTGTGAGGGAAGGCGACCGCCACCAGGAATTAGACTATCGACTGCACGCCGCAAGTGAGATTTCCTTTTGGGATGTCGATGGTACATATCATCACAGGAAAGGCAAAAAAGTTGCATATTACATTTATCACATCGAACAGCTGGTGATGAACATCCACAGAGATCACAGTGCCTCCCATCTCGTGATCTTGCTATAAATAGTAGAAAACAATAAGTTTGAAGAAGTAACTTTACATTGAGAACATATGAACATTTTCACTGTAATTTCTGGGCATACTTATTTCATTTGAACAATTAAATCTAATATCACGACAACTTTAAGCAACTTATGAATATATCATTTGAATGTCTTGATACATAACTGAACAGATTTTGCAATCTTTTGATCTCTGTTAACTTATGATGCATTTCTGGTCATCAGCTGAAGTTCAGTGCTCTTGTAATTTAGAATTAGACCAAGCCTATATAGCTCAGAATCTAATCAGACATACGTAGTTCAAAGTATGGCTGAAATCATAAATATACCTGAATATTAGCTTGTGTGAATACAGAAATTTTTATATAAGCTGCTATCTAATTACCTAATTTAAATCTAGATACTTAGTTCCACACACACTAGTCATAATATTTTATACTAAACAAAAGTTAACTAGTTAAAAAATGGAAGAATTTAAATCCCACAAACTTGCTTTAAGAAGTTTCTTACATTTATCTTCATAAACAATTTCATAAATTTACCATGTTTAGTAGCTACATCAGATGAGTGAAAAGCTGTGGTGTTATCAGTCTTGTGCCCCTTTATTGTAGTTACAATGTTATTTAAGATCAGTTTTTATTAATGTGTTGATCTTGTTGTGCTTTATGGCTTCTGGTTACAATATTATTTTAGATATGTTGTTCTACTAAGGTGTTGATCCTGTTGGGTTTTATGATAAATGTTTATATTGTAATACGTTGATCTGTTATGTTTTATGATTCCAGAATACATCATAGAGAGGGTTAAAAGTATTTTAAAAGAATGATTTGCATATGTGATGACATAGTGGCATGTTGCCAAAAAGGTAGACCTTAGTGTCATGGGTGATATTTTTAGAATGTATAAATTTGGTTTGTGGGGGATTCTAAACCATTCAACATTGTAATTCCACACAAGTAGCTGAATGGTCAGAGGGATGTCACACCTATTTCCTCAGAAGGACATTTGTATTGAGAGATTTTTAAATAATGCAAAACCAAAGAAGAGAGCATTTTATGGCAAAGAGCCTTCAATGTTTATCAAGAATGTAGCAAAACTCGTTGCAGAGAATTTAAGAAAGTAGTGGGTTTGCAAACCACATCCCACGCTAATCCCAGTGATGTTCTTATGTACAAAAGGTTATTGCTCTGAAAGAGAACACTGACCCAAAAAAGTCTCTGCAATGAACCAAGGCATACCTCTTGGTACCAATAAAAAGGTAATAAAGATTTGAAGTTTATGAAAGCTCAAAAGTTAACATTTTCTTCACCTTAAAATGTATATATGATAGAAACTCACCTTTTCACACAGTTTAGCTATGTTCCTTTTGCATCTACCAGAGAGATTTGCATGACACTAACAATGAAGCAACTCTCACCTAATTTCAAGTGAGTTCATGTGAAATGTGCTGGTTCATGATGATGTCATGATGCAACAAAAGCCATCCACCAGTAGGAGGGTGACACACCTCCATGGGCATTAATTCCCCCTATGCACTTGAGATAACTTCACTCTTCCACGAAGCAAGAAAAAAATGTGCACCAGAAGTGGAGAGGATGGGTAGGAATGTGTGTAGAAGTATCTATCACAAACACATCTTCAGGTACCGAAAATGTTAACTTGTAAAACAATAACTCACCTCCACACATAGTTTAGTTAGAATCGCACACTGAATTGATGAAGGGGCTAGTGCACATAGAGTGTGATACCTGATGGAAGGGGCTCCATAGGTGCACATCTATGGTAGACCTCATCTTGTCTTGACCAAGTTATACTCTTCACATGGAAAGTAAAGAGGGAAGAGGCAAATGACCCATATGTGTTACATAAAAAGGCTAAATGAGAACACGACTGTCCAAGTACTTGCACACAAAGTATCCAGTTAGCCAATATATGTTGTGTGTTTGGGACCAGTTCAGACCATGCCCTGTGTATTCATCTCAGCTCTGCTGACACTCTGTATGGGACAAACTCCAGCAGCAGAAGGAGGGCACATCAGTTATGTAGTATGGATTCGTATGCACACCTCAACTCTACCATCAGACTCTATAAGACGTACTCCATCTGTGGGAGGGGGGGCACATCAAATAAATATTATGGTATTATAAGGCAACTGCAGGAGGAAGGCACTGTATTATGCAGTATGGTTTCATATGTAATGTGTGTTCACCGTAACTCTACAGAACACACTTTGGCTGCATGAGAAGAGCTCAGTATTATAGTGTGTGCTCACTTCAACTCTATTGAACAGACTCAGGCTGAAGGAGGGAACCACAAGTAATATGAATTATGTGTTAAAGGGGGTGACCTGCACTACACTGACAGTGTCACCACCACTCCAATTCTCACTGTATTGCAACTCTTTTGAGTAGCCTAAGCTGTTGAGTCTAACTGGTGAAGTTTCTCCATGATCCACTACACCAGTGGCTAGGTAGGGGATTTGTGGTGGGGAAATGCAGAAAAAATGCCCAGGTCCCCATCAGTCTTATTTAGACCAAAAAGTTATTTTACTGGAGACTGTACAATGGGTGACTGCAAAATCCTGTTTTTAAAATTAACAGGCACAAGCTAAAGAAGTAGGCAGAACATTTCCCAAATGCTTTTTCCATGGAAGAGGTACTATCTAGATCAGACAATTCAATAAATATGTATAGCATAGAGATACCTCAAGGGGTCTTGCAGAACACTCCACCTTGCAGTGGGCACAGGTATAGTCAAGGCAGATGGTATTAGTGCTTTCCATTATCCTGGCTCAATGCAGCTTTTGGGTAAGTATACACTGGGAGGCAACACCAACCACCAGCCAGAAGGTACAAGCAAATGGAAAATGTGAAATAGTCTGCAAGCATCCACATCCTGAGATGAGCATACCAACCAGAGGAGTTAAAAAGTGGTTTTTGGATAAAGAGGAGTCCCAGGTTAGGGACAGATAAAGGTTGGGACCCCAAAAGGGGAAGGTCATGATAAAGCGCACAAAACAACCCAAACAGGACACAGGAACCAAGTTGGGTCCAAACAGTGAAATAGGTCAGAGACATAAGGAAGGGAGGTGGGAAAGAAATATTGTTACCCTCACAAGCAGTCAAAGTCTTGGGAAGGAAAGATCAGTCTGGGGAAAGGATTTGTTAGTTATAGATCACTATTTCCTTTAGATTTAATACAAGAGTTATAACTTGGATAGTTATAAAGCACAAGTGTTAAATTTTGTATTTTTAGAAGGGATAACTTATTGCAGGTTTGCATACATAACTGTTTATGAATCATTTGTTGTGTAGTTCAATTATTGTGAATTGACATCATGTTATTCCAACTTTCTTAATTTTTCTCGTTGCTTTAAGTGTGTATTGTTACATCATAGCATTTGTAGTTTGTAGAAAATTATTGGTCTCAGTTGGGCAATATATACATATAAGCGATCATGTAAGTAAAGTAAGTAAATTAATGAAAGTAAAAGTGAAGTTAGACCACATGTGAATTAGCTGTAATGGGCGATTTCTAAAGTGAGTTTCACAACTTGTATTGTAATAACAGAGATACAGGAGAATAAGTTGTCTTGTTAAAGGGTGTTCTAATGTAATTGAACCTGCCTGTGACTTTTAGGAAAAGAAGACAATTATTTAAAGCTCTGGATACAAGTGTGGTAACCAAAAGTTATAGTGGTGATTTTAAAGTGAGTGTCACAGCCTCATATTGTAACAACAGAGTAGAAAAGAATAAGTTGTCTTGTCAAAGTGTGTTCTAAAGTAATTGAAACCACCTGTGTGGACTTTGACGAAAAAAGAGACAATTATTTGAAGCTCTGGATACAACTGTGATAACCAATAGTGTAACAAAGTTTTGTATATAATTTGACTCGTTTTGAATATGATATTTTAAAACAATAACTCACAGACACCTACTGTAAATAATTTGGCCCCCATAGAACTGAGAAGAGGATATAAGTACGATCAAACAGGGTGTAAAAAACATCTATAAGATATAATGGTAGTTACAGGCAAGAAGAAGGAAGAAACAAGTCTGGAGAAAAAACAGTACGGGAGGCAAGATGTCAATGGTTTGATAGGGGCATGAGTGAGATCGTACAAACCCTGTAAAGGTACCCATCAAGTATGGGAGATGGGCGAGAAGGACAGGAGGAGAATGAAGGATTATAACAGACTAGAGAAGACAGGGAAAGAAACACCTTGTGGTGCTGAGAAAGGTGAAATGCCATGGACAAGGCTTCCCAACAAATGACAATCCTAGAAAGAGACCAACCAACCATTGATGATCAGCCAAGTAAAAGAGGCAGAAAGGTGGTTCACAGTATGATAGCCAGGAAGAAAGGAGTTGCAGAAGGACCAGTGACAAAAGATCTACCACAATCGTTCATGGACAAGACATTGGAAGAGCAACAGGAAAGCAACAAGACGAATGCCACACAGTTAGAAAGTACAGACCAATGGGTGACAAATCAGACAAATTCCATATATGCGGATGGAAGAAAGATATCTCTGTATGAAGAATGGATGCATGAGGATGAAGCAACAGAGAGGAGATATTGGGGAGAGAAAACGGGGTCTGAATGTCAATTAGACCAAGACTATGTTGGTCAAAGAGGTGCTAACAAAAGACCCAAGAAGGAGAGTAGTGTGTAAAGTCGAAGACCAGAGGGAAGAGACAAATAGGGGAATAGAAATATAGAAAAAGATGAGACCAGTTCTTGCTGAGAAATCAACAGTCAATGAGGAACAGAAGAGAAGAAGCTCAGAGTTGAAAAGGGTGGCAAATGTGTCCATGCAGAGCATGTTCACCAGGATCAAACCCCACAAAAGACATAGGGGTGTAGAGACCACTCTGTTGTTAAAATGAAGACTGGCCAAGAGAGGTCGCCTACTGTCAAGATTTAAGCTCCTGACTAGTGACAGGCAAGAAAACCAACCTAGTATGAATGGATCCAGAAGTGTATGTCCAATT